GATGGAGGAGGACTTTGTGGATTGCGTTGGACATATGGGTTAATGTTGGACTTGTGGGCTTGGGCAGCACTGGGTTGGGGTGTTTTCTTGATGTGTACTTAATCTTTATATAAAACTCTCTCTTATACATGAGTTTCTGTGGATTTGTTTCTCTAAAGTACCCAGACTCATACAGCTTTGTAACTACTTTTGCCATTTGAGATGTCTTTTGCAGGATACTCTGGAAGCTTTGAATGCTCATGAAATTATTACAAGTAATAATTGCTCTTATGCAACTGAGAGATTCTATGTCAAGTTGGACTCTGTTGTCCTTTGTGTGAATCTTATGGCCTCATATCCAAGCTGTGTGTTTGAAAACCAGAGACTAGTTGCTACTGTTTTCAGAATTTCCACATATGAGAAATGTCTGGTGCAGCCCTGCTGCTGTGTTATATTTTCTATCCTTTATTTTTGTAAGTAAAACGTAGTATCAACTGTGATCTATGATAGTGTATGAGTTTGATGGTTTGGTGGACCCTAAGAAGACCTCTGGTATATGCCCAACTCAGGCAATACATCTGAAGATCTTTGCTAGATATTCAATTTCCTAGCTTCTTTTGTAGTTAGAGGTGCCTGCGCATCTTATTTTTATAAAATAAATCATAAGTTATATTCTGCTTGGGAAACTTTCTTTTTCACAGAATGGTTATGCTGGTAGTAGAACATTTATTTCCTTTTGTTGGACTTGGGTATGATGGCTGAAACTCTAGCAGCCATCTCTGGAGAAATCATATCATATTGAATAAAGGGGAGTGCAGAGTAGGAACCCAAAGCCAATCTGTAGGCAACTGGAAATCCCCTTACGGAAAGGTCGTGGGGAAGATACGAGCCAGTCAGGGTGCAGGGTAGCAAGGATGAAACATACAACTTTCCTCTAGTTCCTAAATGCTCCCCCACCATCATGATACCAATTCTACCTTACAAATATGACTTGACCAGAGGATGTACACTAGTACAGCTAGGAACTGGAAACACAGAGAATCCAGGACAGATGATCCCTTCAGGACCAATAGTGAGAGTGGCGATACAAGGAGGGTGGAGGGAGGGGGTAGTGGAAAGGGGGAACCGATTACAAGGATCTACATATAACCTTGTCTCTGGGGGATGGACAACAGAAAAGTGGGTGAAGGGAGACATCGGACAGTGTAAGATATGGCAAAATAATAATTTATAAATTATCAATGGTTCATTATGGTGGGTGGGGGATGAAAGGGAGGAAAATGAAGAGCTGATACCAAGGGCTCAAGTAGAAAGAAAACGTTTTGAGGATCATGATAGTGGGGCAGGGACGGGGGAGGAAGC